CGTCTCCTTGATCGTCCGCACCTTCTCGACGACGACAACGCGGTAGGAACGATGGTTCGGCGGATGGTAATAATCGTGGAAGTCGGTGGCTAAATTGCACCGATTACACTGACGTAAATCGATGCAGGGAGTAACGCGGAACCACGACGCGCGAAATATTTTTCAATCGTAAGAGAAGGGAGAGCGGCGGCGGCGAAGGGGGGGGGAGGACGTGGAGGAGGAGGTGGAGGAAAAACTGCGCGGAAAATCGCGCGGAATTTTTAGTACGGAATGTACTTATTTACCAGAATTTTATAGTCTGATCGTTGGCGGATTTTATCAATTGCGAATTAAGCTCTTTACAATGCGCGACGGGTGCCTTCCTCTCGCCGGTGTTGTTCAGAATTTATAATTCGCGAATAAAAAGGGAATTGCCTAAAAGAGTGGAAAGTACGGCTGATAGATGGAAAAATGGCAGAAAAAAGCCGCTATTTTTTTGTGGATTACATTATTCAGCGTTTCGGAACTAACAACGATTGTAACAAACAGCGTTATCCAGCGATGCAAAATATCTCTTATGAATTTTTTAATGGTATGCTTTTTTCCATGTACGCGGCTAATGAACGCTACCTGTACTCGGTGACCGAGTTATTAAATATTGGAAGCACGTAACAAAAAGCATGAAAAAGCCATTTCGATATAAATAGAAATTGGATGCGGAGAAAAATTACAGAGAAGAGTTTCTCCATATAATACCAAATATAGAATAAAGAGAGAGAGAGAGAGAGAGAGAGAGAGAGAGAGAGAGAGAGAGGGAGAGAGAGAAATAGAGATAAAGAGAGAGAGCGAGAGAAAAGAAAAAGACAAATAAAGTGCTTATGAAAATGATACAACGTAAAGATTATTGTCAATTTTAGCAGCAGATCGAAGAATTTTGCCGTCTGCTTGTCGCTTAATTTTTAATATTTCCACGCGATAGATGTTTGATAATTGTAAATGGAGAGCTTACAATTAATATAACGCAGATTTTCAAGCGATGTTCTAGGAATATGAAAAAAAATCTCTAGCGTTGTTTTCCTTTTGTTTGTTTTCCAATTATGAAACAATAGCACACTGTGCATCGCGGAATTCCGCCAACATCAAAATCCATACGCCGGTCGGTGTGTCTGAAAGGACCTGCCGGGGTCTTTGGGAGGCTTTCTATCTTCTCCTACGTCTCTCTAGGCGTAGGACGTGCACACAAGCGAGGTCCTCGTCCTGGGATTCGAAGGATTACGTGCGGGAAAATGTGGCTCGGGGCCAGATACGGAATGTCATTACGTCGGGTAACGATAGGTACATCGCAGCCATTGTTGGATAGCTTCGGTGGAATAAAGAGCCGCGGGACTGCGACTAACGTGAACGATCTTTTGAAGCGCTTCGCGTTTTTTTCAATAATGCGACGGTAAAATGGTGCACTAGATCTTGCATCGCGAGCAAGTTCCGCACGTTTAAGCGCGATATTTTTATCCCGGACTTTTAATCGTCAAGCAGAAAGAGAAAAAGAGAGAGAGAGAGAGTAGCTGAAATAATAATAGTTACACGATACCTTTCCACCGGGACCGAGCACAATCGCATCCTGACGAAATAATGATAATTTGTTAGCGCAGCACGTCGATATAAGATAAACATATAAGATTCACACATAAATGCGAAAAGAGCGCAGGATGCGCGGCAGCGTCGCTAATTAATTAGCGACAGCGAGTCCGGGCGTTTAACGTTGCCGTTAGTAACGCCGTAAATGTGAAAACAACATCGTCGGATACGTACGATGGTTCTCTCTCTCTCTCTCTCTCTCTCTCTCTCTCTCTCTCCCTCTGTCATGCGGATGCAAATGACGAGTGTTTATAAAACGAAAGTGGTCACGCGCGTTCACTCGAGCCACGCTGCAAATTGCACGAGCGCAAGAGAGTTGCGGAGGAATGTGCGATCAGCGGGATTTATAATCCGGCGGGAGCGATCGCGCGCGCTTAAAAACGCATTTCGGCGATTCTTTTCGAGAAAGCCGCGCGACGGCATGTCTACGCGGCTCGGCCGATCGCGGGGTGACGTGCGTGCACGAAACACGCGTCCAGCGGCATTTCCGACGCAATTAATCATCACGCGGGCGCGCAGGAACCGCTGGCACAGTTTTGACTCGATCTTATCGCGCCGTCGCGCACATAATTTCAACGAGAGAGCGCCGGTTCTATCGAATAAATCTCGCGCATACGAATATTTTTCCTCGCGCTCCGCCGGAAAAGCAGCGCGACACGCAGCGAGAGAGATCGCGCGAGAAGCGATCTATTTTATCGTCCATGACGCAACGGGTTGTTCTATTGTTGCGGGGGGGTTACGTGGCGAAATGTTACATAAACATTTTCCCACGCCTCTAATGACACGCGCGCGATTGCAACGCAACAGTGTCGCGATGCGGCGCAGCGCGCGCCTGTATGCACGCGCGTTCAAAAAAGCAGCGCAAATTCCAAACCTGTAATCTTTGCCCGTTGCGCGAGCTCATCAAGATCAATTAGAGCAGTATGGTCGAGCCGCATCGCCGATCGTTAACGGTATATCAGTTACAGCGTTAGACGTAGATAATGACAATTAATGACTTCATTTGCAGCGCAATAATTATACGACACGTTCGCGAACGCACGCACGCGCGCGCGCACACACACACACACACACACACAAACACACATATGCATATTCTGGGACGGATGTGAGTCAGTCTTCCACTTGGCGACTTTCCACTTGGAAAAATTGCAGATCCATGCATATACGTGTGCGCAGGTTATCGAAACATTTATCCTGATTCGCGATTGAAATAACAAGCCGATACGGAATAAATTAACATTTCGATCTGCCGGAATGCTGCGTCGCGCTCGCGAGAATCGTTACCGATACGGGCCGGCGGAGAGGAGAGGTCGAGGGAGGAAAAGGCGAACTTGTCGCTCGATATCGAGAGAACGACAGGCCTCGCTTTTCGCGAAATTAAGCCTTGGTTATGTGTGTTTTTTTAGTCGACGATAGGTCGCGAAGTCCGGCGTCGTAAGTCACTTCTGTCTCTGTTAGACATCCATCGGACGTCTCCGTTCCCGACGAGTTTGATCCGAAGAGGGTTCTTAGTATACAGAGACCCGACCGCTTCGTGCGTCGCGCGTGAAAATCGGCCGATTAATTCGACGGGTCATTTAGAGACCACGACGTGTATCTTAAACTGAGGTACAATCGAAGACGACTCCGCGTCGCGATTCTACATCCACATCGTTTGACAGACGCGTTCTACGCGACTCTGGCAGTCGACCGGGATCGAAGATACGATGTATCACGCTCGAATTAGAATATATTAGCATAGCAAATAAGTGTGCTCGCACGAGTTTCCAATGGGCGCGACTAGTTGTCACTCGCGTGGAACCCGTCTCGAGCGGACTTTGCGGCGATGCGCTTCATAAGCGCCAACGAGAGGCTGCAGGACAGCATCTCAGGAGCAGCTTGTGAAAAATTGCCGTTTCGCACCCGCGAGCAGTCTATCTCGGGACTCTGTAATTGTCCGAAAAGATGCAGCGTTATTCAGAGCCGTGGAAGAGGAAAAATATTTCCGCCGCGCGATATTCTCCTCCTCTGTCTCCTTTCATTCGCTCGCACAAAGACGGAGAGAGCGAGGATCTCAGACTGATTCAAATGCTATTTTAAAGCTATCCTGGAACTTCGGCGCCCGAGTATATCGTCGAACGCAGGGATAGAGAAGAGAAAGCGAGAGAGAGAGAGAGAGAGAGAGAGAGAGAGAGAGAGGGGGGGGAGGGGGAGGAGAGAGCAAGCGCGACGTCAAAACACAATTTGAAAGACGTAATTCGAAAATCGTCGTTCGCCCGACGGCAGCGACCCTTCGTCGGACGTCAAAATGAAATTACGCGACCCTCCACACGGGGACCTTGGGGCACGCACAAAGGCTCGTTTGCCGAGGACACAGTACAACAATCTGTCTAAAGGGACCTAAACCACTAATCGTTTCGCGATTAACTTCCATTAAACGCTACTTAATGAACAAAACTTTCCGTCTACGTCGCGACCAACCGCAGACGGAATCTCCACGAGGCGTGATCGCGTCTGTGTGAATTGAGCTCTTCGATTTATCACAGCGCGGATATCCTCCTCGCGCGTGACGTTTCGCGAGGCGCGCGTTTCGACGCGAACATGCGATCCTACGAGTTATGTGAGAGAGAATCAACATGAGCGAGTCGGAGAAAGCGAGCGAGTGAGCGAGAGAGAGAGAGAGAGAGAGAGAGAGAGAGAGATGTAAGACCGATGAACACCGTTCAGAAGATAGTTTCCGACACTCTCTGCTGCAATTTGTAAATTTATACTTTCGACGCAAAGGTAACCTTCGCAATGCTGCTGAAAGATAATACATGGGTGCGTGTGAGAAAGTGTTGGTACGACACGGGAAATGTCCACCATAAACATTAGACCGCGTCAAAACATGTTCGCCATATGGATTCATTGCCTAGGCACGTGTTATCCACAAAAGTTTCTCAAAAAAGTTTCCCTGTGTTCTTTCTCGATCAGCGAAGCTTCCAATCTTCGCTCGGTGTGCCGTTCGTCATTTGCAACTTCCTTATATTTACACATCGCGTTTGCAATCGGCCATTTCCATCGCGCGGTTTCGTATCGCCGAGCTGCCCTGCACACTCCCGCTGCCTCTTGACGTACATGTGTTTCGTATCCGAGATCCAAACGCACTACAAAGTCGTCGACGGCCGCGCGCACCGATTCTTTTATTTCGCAGAAAAAGGCCATCGCGATTTGAACGAGTCCGGCGACTCGGAGTTTGACAAAGTGGACAAGTCGTCGGACGGGTGCTCGCGCGACGGAAATGCGATTTTCGTCGTTAAACGATTGTGGCGATCTAGGCCGCTTCTGCTCCCCTTGTGTCTAACGGGACATTTCGGAAGAGAAAAGAAACCGAAAAGGGGGGAGATGCGTTTTGTAGCACGTACCTATTCTTCGCCGCAGCGGCTCGGTCCCTTTGCCTCCTGTTCTTGAACCAATTCCCGACCTGCGTCGGCGTGAGACCCGTCGCGGAGGCCAGCTCTCTCTTTTTGCCCGGATTCGGATAGGGATCCTGCAGATACCACTCTCGCAACAGCGACCTGGTCCTCTCCTTGAAGCAGTGCGTCTTCTGCTCGCCGTCCCAGATCGTCCTCGGCAGCGGGAATTTTTTCCGGACGCGGTACTTGTCCACCGGGCCCAACGGCCTGCCGCGCAGCTTCTCGGCCTCTTGATAGTGCGCCTCCAGCCACATGGCTTGCAGCTTACCGTGCGAGTCCTTGGTGAACTTGTGCCTCTCCAGAATCGCGTAGAGCTCGCGATATTGCCCCGAGTGGAAGGCCACGATGGCGCGCGCCCTGAGGACAGCCTCGCTCTGATTGAGTTCTTGGATGTTGGGGTGCGCGACCGGTAGGCTCCATAGAAACCTGGCCAGCCTCTCGATGTCACCGCTCTCCTCCAAGGTCTCGCAGACCGTGGCCACTTGGCCGACGGTGAAGGACAACGTCGGTAGCGCGAACACCGGTGCAGGTACAATCGGACCGTTGCCGTTCGGTCCCGCGGTGCTGTTGCCGGCGGGCGCTACGGTGGACATTTTCCCTGGAGTCTCTGGCGATCAGCCGACGGATCCGCACTACCGGACTCCGCTCTGCCACTTCTGTCGCGGAGCGTCGATGTCACCCGGACGCAAGGAGGCGGCGGCTGTTGTCGCGGCTGAGGAGGCGCGACGCTACGATTTATGCTTGCCCTTGGCTCTTCTCATGATTCGTCACGATCGCGGTCCCTCATCACGAACGGATGAAACCAACTGTCACTGGCGGCGACTTTTCCACTTCACCATCGGCACTACGCTCCGAGAGGGCTCCGGCTCCCCGGCTGTTACAGCGGCATAGACGGACGCTACCGACGCACAAGAGAGCGGTCTCCTCAACCTTCTCTCATAAAGACCGAACTGAATGGGATCGCTCGTTGTGCTGGACGACGACTGTCCGTCTGCTGCTGCGGCAGGTAATCAATTCTGAGAGCCCACATTGGCGTTCTATCTTTCTCGAGTCGCGTCACGTCACTGTCTAATTTGGAGGCGACTCGCTCCCGTAGCTCGGCTCGCTCGTATCCCGCCGCTTGCTCGTGTTGACTGGAGAGCAGCGGAGCAGACCACGTCGCAAGAGACAGAGACAGGTAGAAAGAGAAAGAGGAAGAGAGAGAGAGAGAGAGAGAGAGAGAGAGAGAGAGAGAGAAAGAGAGTGAGGGAATGAGAGAGAAAGAGAGAGAGAGAGAGAGAGAGAGAGAGAGAGAGAGAGAGAGAGAGAGAGAGCTCCTCGGGGATGTTCACCGAAAATCGCTAGCGAACCACTGTCAGTCGCGACTCGTTCACGCGAACGTCCTCCAGGTCGTCGTTCAGGTAACACCCACTAGGCCAGGCACGCTGACGCTCTGCCACGTCGTGGGGATATCACGCGAGGCCGCTGTTGCTTGGATCGTATCGGATAGCAAACTGGTTTCGTTTACAAGCCGGCATCTCGGCACCGGCCCTACCCAGCATGATACGTTTGTACGCGCCCGTTGCAACCGGGCAGTCTCACGGGTTCTCTAGACCTACCTCTACTTCTCTCTCGCTGCCACCACTACCACCACCGTCGCCACCACCTCTGCCTTGGCCGTGCGGCGGCTACGGCAGAGGGGCTGAAAGCATGAAAAAGAGACGGAGATAGAAGGTATCGGGGTGCCAATGTACAGACCACGCCTACGAGGTACACCGGGATTGGCCGGATCCCATCCATGTAGCCATGGTAACATTTCTTCGTCCTTCCGTTAGGCAGTGTTGGGAGCTACGCTTGTGTCGGTTTAATTATCCCTTCCATGTTGCGCTATCCGGTACGCGAACCCCACCTTCAGCACTCTACTACCACCACCATCAGCCAGTACCCACGACTCCTCTCATGCCGCCCCTCCGACTGGCTGGAAAGGAGTGAGAGACGAGGAGAGAGAGAACGATCGATGCACCTGGCAGAATGCGGGACAGAGACGTTGGTAGCTGTAGCTCGCGGTGCTCGCGGGGTGGAGAAGGCAGAACGGCATGATCCTTCGAGCTGCTGGTGCTGCTGCTGATGCTGATGCTGCTGCTGCTGCTGTTGCCGCCACCACTACCACCACCACCACCACCACCACCACTGCCACCACCACCGCCGCCACCACCGCCGCCGCCGCCGCCGCCGCCGCCGCCGCCGTTTCTGCTGCTGCTGTTGCTGCTGTTGCTGCTGTTGCTGCTGCTGCTGCTGCTGCTGTTCGTGCTGCTGTGACGCCACTGTTGCTGTTGCTTCTGTTGCTGTGATCTCGTGAACTCTTTTCGACGTTGCACCCGACAGTCGCTGATAGCTGGATAAGATTGATAGGTTGCCAACCGCCGCTCTCTCCCTCCCTCCCTCCCTGCCCCTTTCTCTCGAGCAAGGATGTTTACGTATTTCTCTACTTTCAGTTCGTTCTCCGGCTACTCGTTTGGTTCCTCTTGGTTCCTCTTTGTTACGTTTTCCAGTATCATCGAACTAATGAAGCTCGTGGAGGTCCGTTATCAAGAAAGAGAGTGAGAGAGAAAGGGGTTAGAATATTCACCTTGTTATGTACATCCGTACTATTTCACGGGGTGAAGTTTATCGATCAGATGGATTCCTCGTCAGTGTTGCAGAATGCGATTATTGCTAAAACATAACATGCAGCTGCTGCGGAACGCTGTATTTACTATCGGCTAGGTTTCACGTCTCAGAGAGAGCGACGACCATAGCAAGCGTGTTGTGGAACCGAAGAGGACGCGCGACGGCGCCGAAGGCGTCTCCGTTTTATCGAACGCGCGGCCACCGCAGAAGCTGCAGTCCCGCGATAGATACTCCAATTTTACACTATTTTCCTTCCCCTCTCCTTCCCGCCTCTCTCTCTCTCTCTCTCTCTCTCTCTCTCTCTCTCCTCTCTCTCGTTCTCCACGTAGCCTGGCGAGTGAGTCTCACTTTAATCCCGAATCCATACACAGAGTCAACTAAGGAGTCGATCACGAAAGTCGTGCACGAAAAGTTTGAAACAAGGTTTCGAGGGGAACAATTTCCAAGTGTGCGTGCGCGCGTCTACACGGAAAGTACTTGTAAAAGCTTTGCACAAATATAGTTTGTAACTAATCAGTGTAACCAACTCCCGCGTCTTTTATATCACGTCGGATGGAATTATTAGCCGAATGTCAGTATTTCCTCGGGACGATAAAAGAAGATAAGATACGATGTTTGCCGATGCCTCGCACGGATAAAACGCGTCCGATTCTCCGGCACTTTTGCCACACTTGGCCGGCTCCTCTCCGCGACGCCCACGTTATTCAAGTATAGATTTTCACGCGCGCACACATGCCTCGCGCTGTTTGACGGATTACCGCTCGAAAAACACCGAACGCCGTGCAATAGCCATCGGCGATTTGCGTGTCGGCGCGTATAATCGCTCGGCGCTGAGCGCGTCGCCCTGGCCGGCTAGCGCGACGGTTAAATCTCGATCGATTCGAGTAATGAAAAAGTAAACGCAGTTTCACCGCGGCGGATGATTCCTTCCGATTGCTCTCGTTTACGTTCGCCCGGTGGTCGTTCCGTTACACAGGACCGGCAGCGCTGGCGGCCGATTGGTCAGGGCCAAATCGGATTACGGGGTAGAGCGGGATTACGAGTTTTTCGAAAGACACCATCAGCCGGCACGCTGCGCGGCTTCGGAATTTCCCCGGCGCAATCCGCCATCCATCCGTCCGCGTCGCATCGATACGCGTACAAGCGTATGTCCTGCTGTCCTTCTTAATTTTCCCTTTCCACCCTTTCGCGCTCCGGCCGAGAGGCCAGCGCCAGCGACACGCCGACGACGCCGTGTAAACATTCGTCATCTCGTTGTTTGGCGCACTCGTTACGAACACTGTGATTATCGAAGATTTCTGATAAGCAGTAATTTGTCGCGATCTTGTGGCGCCGAGCCTTCCTGCGCTCTCTCTCTCTCTCTCTCTCTCTCTCTCTCTCCTCCTCTCTCTCTCTCTCTGTCGTTCTCCACACACAACCCGAAATTTTCTCGAAGTATCCGTTAAGAACATAGGTAAATAACGTCGGAAAGTAGACAATGGAATGCCGAGCGGATACCTGCGACGATGAGTGGGGCGAGCCGTTAAGAAACGGGACACGATAGATCAGGTAGATAGAGAACGGCAGGATGCGGTTATTCGTCAACTGGTAGTAGCTGGTAGTCATTCTGCTCGCGCGTCGTTCTTGTCACAACAGCGCATCGACGCCCGGAATTTTTCCTCGCGACGCTCCTCTTTCTCTCTCTCTCTCTCTCTCTCTCTCTCTCTCTCTCTCTCTCTTTCTCTTTCCCGCTACGCGACGCGCATTATCGTTTGCTCATAACATCGTCGCGAAGCGATACGCGACAATAAGCGTTTAGTGAACGGTGCTGACAATCGCCGCCGAGGGCGAGACTAAAAAGTCCGTGTGCGACGATCGGGATAATAATTATAATGGAGGATCCGACAGGAGATATACAGTGCGTAAACGCGATCACGAAAGCGATCGAGAGCTGCAGCGGCGACTCCGGGCGCTTTAATGGTGTCGCGCGCGCACCGCGACTCGAGTCTTTAACGATCCCACGGGGTGTTCGGCCGGCGCGATTAATAAACGCGCAATGGACAGATACCGAAGGTCGCGCACACGCCTACGGGATACGGACGCGCCGATAATGGATTACGGTCGTGGCGGGATATAATAGAATATCGGGCGCGGAATGGCTCACAGATAAATGTCGCGATAACGACAGGTAGGCCGCGAGTATTACACCGCTCCATCATCCCACCCTCGATTACGCGGATCGATCTATCGCGTGCGCCGTCGTTTGTTTGCCCGACGCCTCGGAGGCATCTCCCAGGACAAATGATTCCGTCGCATGGCAGCCATTTTACCTCCTCGCCGCTTTTTCCCTCCCTCCCTCCCTCCCTCTCTCCGTACCGCCTCTCCTACTTACTCTCTCATCTCTCTCTCTCTCTCTCTCTCTCTCTCTCTCTCTCTTTCTCTCCCGGTTTCTCCCGGATCCCGCCGATTTTTCCTTTCGCGGCGCGGCGGAAGGGTTCACCGCTGCTCGTTCCTAAGCGGAAACATTTGTCGGTCTTATGAGACGCGAGAATCTCGTGGGTGGTTATTGTGGCGAGACCGGCGGCGGGGTCGGACTGCCTCCATTGAATTCCTCATCTGGCGGCGGCTATTACTTTCCGCGATGAGAACTGTCAGGAGGGAATCGTTACACGGGGTAGATTAATCGCCGCCAGGAAAGCGACGAGAAGAGACGCGGAGCGCGCGTCTGTGGCTGCGATGCGAGCGAGTGAGCCGGCAAACGGCCGCGCTCGCCTTCTATCTACGGATGCCTCAGCTATTTCTTCTGTATGACGTATCTCGAGCGATTACGAGTTGCAACGATGCTGCGTACCAGCATGCTCAACATGTCCGTACGCGCGTACTCTTCTCCACTCCCTCGGCGGGTTTTGCAGCCGCGATTAATCCGGCCGATCCAACATTTCTAAGCAGGCGGCCGATTCGTCGCGATCGCGCGCGCGATCCGGCGCGTGCCACGCGCCGGATATGCCGGTCACGCGCGAAATCGGTACGCGTGCCATCAGCGATGTCGGGCTTCCCGTCTTGCCGAACTTGCCGCGATCGAAATCCCTGAAATTAATAAGGAACAGAATAGCGACGGGGTCGAGAGAAAAGGACACGATGGATTATCAGACGTGATGCGCGCCGTCCGTGACTCGTCCGTGAGACTCGCCAACTCACCGCGCGTCGAGCAATCACGCTATTTGGACAGCGGCTACTCCTACGGCACTCGTTGATAGAATTATTACGCTAACCCAGTTTCGTCGCGCGCTCGCTCGCTCGCTCGCGTTCGTCCCGTCGACACACGATCGTCGCCCGCGACGTCGCCGATTTCATCGGCGATTACCGATCGATACTCCGCGGACGCGCCGGAATTATTCATCGCGGGCTCCGCGGACACCGACGGCTTGCGCGACGACTTGCCCGAAAAATCGCATCCGGCGTAAATCGGTACGTGAGCCGATTTTGCCGATTCCGCCGATTTCGCTGGACGTATAAGGACTCTCTCTCTCTCTCTCTCTCTCTCTCTCTCTCTCTCTCTCTCTTTCTCTTTCTTTCTCT